GCAGACAATATTGAACTCCATGCACAAATACCAGCCTCGGTTCCACATTGTGAGAGCCAATGACATCTTGAAACTTCCCTATAGTACATTTCGGACTTACTTGTTCCCCGAAACCGAATTCATCGCTGTGACGGCATACCAGAACGATAAGGTAACCAAAGGCGCTTTTCTTTTTAATGGCTGTACTTTTCCCTCCCACCTTTAGGCCGCTCCGGGTGAGGTGGAGAAAGTTAGAAAAGATTAGGGATGGGAGTCTTGAGTTTTTCTTCTGTGATTTGACCCTTCCGTGGAGCTTTTGGGGAAAGGGGGTCTGGCACGTCACAGAGGCAGGGGAAAACAAAACAAAACAGAAAAAAACAACAAAGCAAAACAAAAACTTGACCAGCTAGGAATCCGATGCGGAGAGAAAAGATGCCAGACTAACTTCACTCCTGTAACTGTGCTCACAGCCATTTCCCCACTTGGGCCTTTCTCTTGTTTGGAGGCTCAGCCTCTTCTCCTCTAGGATGAAGGATCAAAAATCAGGTTCCAGGTTCTAAAGGAACCAGCTAAAACTTGAAGGCAAAAGCCATTGGGGATCTTGGGAGGAGAATCCCATTGGAGAGCAGCTTTTCTCCCCTAGCCAGAAATCCTGAGTAGCTGGTCTGGTTTTTATTACCTTTTATGCTGCTGTGTTTTTTATGGTGTGTGTGTGTGTGAGAGAGAGAGAGAGAGAGAGTGTGTGTGTGTACGTGTGTGTGTGTGTGTGTGTGTGTGGAAAAACCTTCTCTGATCACAGGGTCATGCTAATCGAGTTGTCTGAGGCTTTTGAGATGAGATGACCAAAGTCAAGATCAGTTCATTTGAAGGTTTTTCCTCCCTTGGGCCTCAGGCCCGGGGTTAGGAGTACCCCCGGATAGACCGACAAGCAGCACCTGGTATATAAAGTTATGGTGGCCTGAAGGTCATGGGCATGTGCACAGAGAGACACGGAGAAAGTGACTCTTGCTGATTCACCAGTTCCCAGCGTGGCTGTTTGCAGGCAGTTATGGGGGTGGGGAGCAACTGAGGACCCCTGCTCTTCTTACTTCAGGGAGAGTCCAGCTTACCTGACAACACCTTGCATTTTGAACTCACTGTCACTGTGGGTGGGTCCTCTGGCTGGCCCTTGGGGTGTTCAGGTATGTTTCCTTAATCCGGAGACTGAGACTCCAGGACCTCCTCTTCCTGCAGTCTTGCATACGGGAGTTTATGCCAAAAACAAGAATCCAGCCAAGGGGCCCTTTTCCCACCTCTGGGGAACTCTGTATAATTTTTTTTTTCCCCTTAAAGGGAAGGGATTTGAAAGATGGCATACTATGGCATTTTGCCCCAGCGTGCAAAATGCATGCTCCCTCTAGACCCAGAACCCTGTGAATGTAAGTCGTTAATGTAATAAAATGTACCATTTTTGATCAGACGAAGAGGCCAGAGGCCTTCTCCAACCTAATGGCGGTGGCAGAATATATAAATGAAAACAAATGTTTCCAGTGGTCATTCAGCCCTTTGACATCTGTAATTGTCAATATTATAATTCCTCAACCCTCCCCCCACCCCACAAGACGCAGCAAAAAAATCAAACCCACTCTGGCACAAGGGTAGCGAAAACCCCATAAATCATTTCATTAGATTCACAGAAAAGGTTGGAGTGTATGCTGTGAGGTGTGTGTGTGTGTGTGTGTGTGTGTGTTTGGGGGTAGGAAATAATGCCATAACATATTTAATGATTAATTGCACTATGTAAAAAAAATGAAAGCACAATTTTAAGATCTACAGGTTGTCCCTTTTGACAGCTTTTGACAATCTTTCCATTTCTAAACGCAAGCTCTGAAGGCTGCCTACAGAACAGAAGGAGGCATTTCCCAGACAGTCTAATTTCAGTCTGGAATCCCTGGTTTGGCTTCCTCTGAGAGATGCAAGTCATTGGTACAGTTCTTTGGATTTTTCTCTCACTCCCCTCTGACTGACACTGTGAGGTCCTCTCCCTTTCTCTTGAACCTGGCATAGCCTGCTGACTTCTTTTGGCAGTCAGATTTCTAGTAGACAGAGTTGGGGGGGGGGAAACACCCCCAGAGCATTCTAGAAAATGAGGCCAATGTCTCTTTCTTGCTTGTGTCTCCTCCTCTAGATAACTCAGCTAAAAATAGACAACAACCCTTTTGCAAAAGGTTTCCGGGACACTGGAAATGGCAGGAGAGAAAAAAGGTGAGCGGAGACACTTGGTATTACTTTCTCAGATAATTTGGAGAATCACTTTTCTAGGGCCCAAATCTCAGCTATTAGAAGTGGGATGCAGGCACTTCTATTAAGAAGTTAGGGGGAAGAAGGTGGAAAATAATTGACTGCCTCCCTGCCACCTGCTTGCGGACCTCAGGACACTGTACTTTTTCTACCTCCTACAAGTTACCTTAAAGGAGATGAACTAGGCCACACCATTTTTGTCTCTGGAAAGAAAAGTGTCAGGGATAACAGATTATATACAGATGCCTATTAATTCCTAATTAATTGAGGTTCATCCTGGGCAGGTCCCAGGAAAGGACTAAACCATTCACAAAACGCTTTGGAATTTTTGCAGTCTTGTCTTGCAAATACCATCAGACAGAACTGAGGCCCCTTGAGAAATCTGTGGCTCCCTCCTTAATGGGCAGATGTATCATTTTGCATGAAGCAGACAGCTGGATAGTATAGGGAAGACGCTCTCCCCTCCCCTACCAGCTTTCCAAGAATTTCTAAAATCCAGCAAATCAGTCCAAATCTTTAACCTATCCCCTTGCGGGGTGGGGGTGAGCATTATAAAATAATTTCTAACATCTAAGTGGATTTTTTTTTTTTTTACTCCGGTTACGATTAATTAGTGTGTTGGTAAAACAATTAAAGTGCACCATGAAAGAAGCAACTTCTTCCCAGTCTTAGCAACCAGTCGGGGGTGTGTAGGCTGTTTGTGTTCACCAGTTTGGGCACCCAGGTCCCCTCCTTCTGTAAGGCCTGCTGCTTAGCTGTCTCTGGCCCATGCCCTTTCCCTAACAAGCCCCGGGTCCTGAAGCCTCCTTCCTCCGACACCACCCCCCAGCCCCGTGCCACACTCTTCAGCCTAGTTAAAGGGTCGAGAACCATGCTTGGGTCTCTGTGGCTGCCTTGGGGCAAGCAGGTTTCAGAGAACTCGGTTGTGTTGTCCGTGGGTGGTGGGCTGGATGAGGCTGTGTGTATGCACGCCTCTTTGGAGAGGGTGAGGCAGACAAGAGGGGAAATGTATGTCCGGTTCTGTAACGCTGGGTGTGGGCTTCTGCCACAGAAAACAGCTCACCCTGCAGTCCATGAGGGTGTTCGATGACAGACACAAAAAGGAGAATGGCACCTCAGATGAGTCCTCCAGCGAACAGGCAGCCTTCAACTGCTTTGCTCAGTCCTCGTCTCCAGCTGTGTCCACTGTAGGGACGTCGAACCTCAAAGGTAGGCCTGGTCACCTCTGATTTCTCCACTCCAGGTCTCTGGAGTTGAGGGGACGGGGCACCCACCAGGGAACCTGCCCTTCAAAAAAACGTCAGATGCTTCCAGAAGCCCCTAAGCAGGAGCCAGAGTTCAAACAGGGTGGCCAGGTGTGTCCCCCCTCCCGAAGTTGTATAAAGGAGAGCTCAGAACCCTTCCCCCCAGACCTCGATTTGGCTGAGGTGGGGTGTCTGCATGTTCCTTCTCGGTGGAGCCAGCCTTGAAAACTTGCATGGAGCACTTCTCTCTGTCTCTGTCCCTCAACTCTCTCCAACCAAGCAACTGCTGACTTTTTTTACTATCTTTTAGCTCTAGATTAAAATGTGTTTGGGGGGGGGCGGGGAGAGGCAAGGGATTCTCTGCCACCTGGAACAGGGAAGGTGGCTGAGAAAACAGCCAGCCATAGAGCAGCAATGGGCACTGGGAGAGAAGCCGGAGCGGTGGGGATCTGAGAAGGGAGGGTGGGGGGAGTGGGAGGGGACAAGATGGTTCAAATCCCCAGTTAGTTCCCGTGTTTAAAGAGCAAGTACTGTTTATTTGGAAAGACACGCATTCTCTCTCTCTCAACAGGAAGAAACCTGTTTTTAAGTGAATTAAAATGGAAGTCCATTATGACTTCAATCCCTTTAAACTTTACACATAAAATAGGATCCCTTTTTTTTTTTTTCCTGGTAGGACACCCACAGAGGGTGTGGTGACAGCGAAAGAGAATCTTGTGATTGTCTCTGGGCAGTGAGCGGGCTGCTCCCACCTCTGTCCGTGGGGACAGGGGCAAACAGGAGGCTCCGCTGAGTGTGTGTGTTGGGGGAGGCAGTCCATTTCTGCCCCTGCCCATTCGGATGCCAGGGTTCAAACAAATCCTTCTGAAAGAATTGGCAATTTTGTGGAAGGTGTTAATCTTGGTCACTCAGCTGAACTAAGACTGGGTAGTAACTAGGTGTTCCCAAAGTGAGTTTTAGGATGAGTTTAATTTTATTTAAAAAAAAAAAAAAAAAGTAAATGCAACGGAGTGGGGAAGGGCTTTGTCTGACACATTAGGAGCTCAATGGATGATTGTAAAAAATAGTAAAATCCACTAGCGATTTGGGGCAGGGGGTCAGTGGGAGAAGGGGCTCAGTTCTATCTAAATATTTTAAATTCATTCATTCTTAGCTTATTGACACATCCCACTAAAGTTGTGAGGTATCATCACTCCCACTTTGCAGATGAGAAAACTGAGGCACAGAGGGGTTAAGGGGCGTTCCCGGGGGACCACACAGCTTGTAGATGGCCGAGCTGGAGTTTCACTGGCCCAGATTTCAGCTCACGCCCTTCCCCTTGGCTTTTGTGCCCCTCCTATCGTAGATCTGTGTCCCAGCGAGGGTGAGAGCGACGCCGAGGCCGACAGCAAAGAGGAGCACGGCCCCGAGGCCTGCGACGCGGCCAAGATCTCCACCACCACGTCGGAGGAGCCGTGCCGGGACAAGGGCAGCCCCGCGGTCAAGGCGCACCTCTTCGCCGCCG